GTTGGTGCCTAATTCGCCAGCTGACACCATGTATAGCGGGCATTTCAGAAGCTCGCTGATGCCCTCGGCGGTTAGGGTCTTGCCAGTGCCAGGGGGTCCATGAAGAACGGCTGCGAAGCGTCAGAAACTTACAAGTCGCATCAATAGAAGAGGAGAAGGGACAGGCGCGAACCAACGAGGCCCTTTCCCTCCCCCTGAATAACGCCGCCAATACTTCTAACACAGATCGCACCCAGCGTGGCAAATATCGAGATCTCTGAGCTCGTTTCAGAACGCGAGTTGTGCCTAATTCGCCAGCTGACACATGTATAGCGGGCATTTCAGAAGCTCGCTGATGCCCTCGGCGGTTAGGGTCTTGCCAGTGCCAGGGGGTCCATGAAGAACGGCTGCGAAGCGTCAGCAAACTTACAAGTCGCATCAATAGAAGGAGAGAAGTGACAGGCGCGTACCAACGAGGCCCTTTCCCTTCCCCTGAATAACGTCGTCAATACTTTCAACACCATGGTACCTGTGCGTCTCTACGAGAGCCTTGACGATCGCCTTGGGTTTTTCTTGCAGCACGAGCGAGTCGTACGCCTCTTCGTTCCACTTGATATCTTTTACGCCAGAGACGCTGAACTCGAGCCACATTTTCTCCCCAAAGGAGAATCCCAGAACGACGGGCGAAGCAAGGAGATACTCTTCGTCAGAGAATTCGAGCTTGGCGTCGCTAGCTGTCGCGTCCGTCACCTGACCTGACTTGCTCTCGACGGCGTCAAGTTCTTGAATAGTAGAGTTCTCCTTTACCAGTTCCTTGCGGACTCGCATGATGCGTAATTGACCGTTCTCATCTTTGTAGACCTTTCTGACATATTCGACTGTCTTGTCACTGTCCGAATCAGTGACGCAGCTCTTTTCACCTTGGTCTGACTCAGTCTCAGAAACGCAGCCACAGCCGGACTCTGCATCGTCGTCGTCAGACTCAGATTCAGACACGAGGTCATGATCCTCGACTCGGACACTCGGGACTGGATAGTTGGGGTTGCAGCGACGGTGAATTGATGGGTCGACCATTATTCGGCCATTGACGTTGATCTTGATGGTGTTCTTCTTCTTCTTGTAGTAGGCCATTCCCTCATGACATTTGTATTGAACACCGCCGAGCAGGACAAACTTTTTGCCGCGCGAGATAAGGTGCTCTCGGACCTTTTGCTCGTTCTTGTGGTACTTCAGGGGATAACAATTGAGGCTCGTGATCTTGCGAGCCCCGCGAAAGTCGCTGACCTCCTCTGCGAAACTCCCGTAGCCAAATTGCTTGCCGTCATACTCAAAGTACTACAAAGCGTGAGCAAGAATGCATGACCGCACGCCCGAGTCATGAAAGGTGGAGGCTTACCTTGCCATCGATGTAGTAAAAGTCACCCTTCACAAAGCTGGTATGTTTCTCAGCAGCCTCTACCTTGAAGACACGGGGTTCATCCTCTGAGCCGTACGTCGCAGTGTACGCGAGGGTGTTGGGCTTCCATAGTGCCCAAAGAAGTTCAAAAGTAATGAGACCATTCTCTAGCATGGGATAGAGGCTTTTCTTGACTTGCGCATAGTCCTTGTCTAGGTATCCCAACAGGACTTTGAGGTGGCGTCTCTTTTCTTTGGCATGCTTCCGGGCCTTCTGCCGGGCTCGCTTGGTTTCACCAGGTGGCTCAGACGTCTTGAGTTCCTTGCTATACACGCGAAGATCGTCCAGGTAACTGCAGAGAATCAGACAAGGCTGCAGCGTACGAGTACAACCAACTTACAGGAATAGGAGGTTGGGATCAAGACGTGGGGTATTGTCCACCAAGCTGACACCTTTGATGTTGCCAATGACGTCCTGGAGACACTCCCGGAGAAGTTTGCTCTTGACATCGACTGTGGTTGACTTGTACTTGCCCTCAAAATCGAACACACGTCGAATCTGCAACACAAAACCATCAAACATGAGGCATCAGAGCCTCCCTCGGCAGTGGACTGAAGTTTGAAGTTGTGTAGA